TTCTATCTTTTGGTTTTCACCTTCCAAACTTTTTTTTTTTCCTATCACCTTTTCTCTTATTCTCATTGTTTATAGGCTTCATGTATTTTAAAATAATCTTCCTACTGGCTTTTTAGTGGAGTTTCAGGAGGGAGTGGAGATAAATGCCTGTGTTCAGTTTGGCATCTTGAACTGGAATTCCCACTGACTTTATTCATTCTTCAAGACTCCGTTCAAATGTCAATTCCTCTAGGAACTCTTTCCTACCCTTCCTCAAGACAGAATTAATCACTCAGTCATGGAACAAATATTTACTGAGGAGTTCTTACAGGCATGGCACTGTGTTAGATGAAAGAAGAAAAGGCACATTTCTTGCCCTTAAAGGGTTCACGGTGTGCCAGTGAGTAGTGTGGTAGTTAAGGAGGCTGGATCCCACATGGCTAACTGGGCAGTTTGAGTCCTGGACCCAGTGGTTTGAAAAATGCACTGAACACATGTGCATGCCCAAAATCCCAAGAGGAGAATGGAGGAGAAGGGATTGCGTGTGGCCATCCTCCCTGGGGAGTGCTTCCTCACCCCCCTCACCCATCTCTGGGAAGCATATGCACCCTATAGCAAATTTGAATAAATAAAGGGTTCATGGTTAGGCCAGCCTATAGCCTTGGTGGTTAAGGCAGCTGGATCCCATATGACTAACCATGTGGTTTGAGTCCTGGACCCAGTAACCCACCTGGGTGGGTGTGCATGCATGCCCAAAATCCTGAAAGGAAGGAGAAATAGAAAAAGGACTCTGGCATGGCTATCTCCCATGAGAGAGAGTACATTTTTTTAAAAGAATTATTTTATTTAACTTTATTTATTTATTTAAATTTTACCAGAGAGGGACAGAGTGAGAGAGAGAGAGAGAGAAGAAAAGTGAGAAAGCACATGCCCAGGTCCAAGACTCAAACCACAGTTGGCCATGTGAGAGTCCAGCACCTTTAACCACCACACCACCTGCTGGCCCCGACAGTACACTTTTTTAGTTGCTTTCCTTTTTTTAAAATTTTTTTATTTTTTAAGAATTATTTATTTTATTCTATTTTGTTTAGTTATTATGTATTTTTAAATTTGGCCAGAGGGAAAGTGAGAAAGTAAGCCACTAGGTTTGGGACTCAAACCATAGTCAGTCATGTGGGAGTCCAGTGCCTTAACTACCACACCACCTGCCAGCCCCTCCTTTTCTCTCACTCTCTGGTAATAGTACAAATTGAAAAATATGGGGGTTCACACTCTAGTGGGTAAGATAAAGACAATGAAGCACTTAAAATTCACTCCCACATGGCTGACCACTGTTTGAGTCCCAGACTTGGCAGCTTGCAAATCACACTGGGCATATGTGCGTGTATGCCCAAAATCCCAGGAGGAGAGTAGAGGAGAAGGGACTGTGGTGGGGCCATCTACCCTGGGGGGTGATTTCTCACTTTCCCTTTCACTGTTTCTCTCTCTGGTTTGTGCCCTATGGCAAAAACCTTTAAAAAAAAAAAAAAGTTCCATGTGACATGGGCCAGCAGGTGGCATGGTGGTTAAGGCACTGGATCCCACATAGCTGACTCCAGGGTTCCAGTCCTGAGCATAGTGGCTTGAAAAACACCTTGGGTATATGTGCATATGTGCCAAAAATTCTGAAAGTGAATGGAGAAGGGATTGCAGCATGGCCATCCCCCCTGGAGGGTGCTTTCTCACTTTCCCCCTCTCTCTGTGTCTCTCTGGTGAGAGCATGTACCCTGTGGCAGGAAATCTAAAACAAAATAAATAAAAATTCAGCGTGACAAATACAGGGGGCTGTGGGTACCTAGAGAGTCATAACCCATCCATGGGAGGTCAGGACGTGCTCCCCAGGACAAGGGGCATGAGCTGAGATTTGACGGTCAAGGAAGATTTAGCCAGACCAAGAAGCAGAGAGGAACTTTCCAACCAGGAATAGCCTGTGTCTCCCTCTACTTTGAAGTGCTCTTTCCAGAGCACAAACCCCACCGCGTCACTGTGTAGTGAAGACTTATCCAGGAAGCCTTCCCTGGGTTCTAACAGCACTTAGCATCCTGAGATGGGGGTCAGTCTGTCTCTCCTTCCCCAACTCAGACTGTGAGCTCCCTGAGAGCAGGTCCTGCCTCATTCACAGCTGGTGGTCAGCCTAGGCCTGGGTAGGTCACCTTCGGTTCTGTGATTCTCTTGCCTTTATTATCCTTGGCCTCTCTGGTGGTCCCTAGGGTTTAGGGAGCTGGGCTGTACTAAGCTGGGAAATGGAGCTAAGGACCAGATTCTATAATCCCATGACAGTGGGATTCCCTGACTGTGACAGCATTCCTTCCCAGAATAGAAGAAAGCAAGGCTTTCTTGCCAGAAAAGGAAACACTCATTTCATACTATCTCTCTGGAAACAGAGCAGGGATAAGCAGTTCAGGGGAGACACGCCTCAGAGGCTACTCGTACCCAGTGCTTTCCCATGGAGGGGTTCAGGCTCTCCCAACTCGCCCCTTTAGCATCTGTTTATCAGACTCTCTACCCAGTCCTGGGTATGGCTCTCTTGTTGCTCAGCCCAAATCGGGCCCTGGGGGAAAAGCTTGGGGATCCCAGTTCTAGCTCTCTTGTGATGGAGGGAGTCTCAGACTATTTTTACTAGGAAGGCTCTTACCGATCATCTGATTCCACAATTCCTTCCCCTCAAACTCCCACTCCCCAGACTCACACCCCGCAGCCCCTGACTCCACTAAGAGACAGAAAAGCCGAGGCCAGGAGAAAGATAGGGTCTTACTCAAGGTCACAAAAGGATTCAGAAGCAGGGCCAGGTCTTGAACCCATGCCTCTTCCTTCCTTGCCTAAAGCTTTTTCTTAAACTGATCTGTGGAGGCGGGTTGTCCTAGCAACAGTTCTTTAGGCAGGAGAAGTAAAGGGGGGAGGGCTACCACTGTTTCCCATTCCCACATATCCCAGGGTCTGTCTCCTTCACAAAACCTTTGCATAGAGGAGGGAAGAAGGAGAGAAAAGCCTATAGGCAGAGCTGACCTTGGCCTCAAGGGCAGGCCTGCTCCCTCCCTGCTCAGAGAGTGGGGAGAGGGACAATCAAAGGGCAGTCCTTGAGGGGCTGGACCACACCTGCCTCCTGGGGCTCCAAGGGGAGCCCTCTTCTGCACCTCTTGTCTTTCCTAGGTATAACCCAGCGGGGCAGGGCAGAGTAAAGATGACAGCAATGACATCCTGGCCTGAGGGGAGAGAAAGGAATGGGGTAGGAAGGGTTCCCCTCCTGTTCTGGCCCCCTCCCTGTGTCCTTCACAGGTAGGCTCAGGCCCCAGGCCAGACTTAGGTCCCAGCCCAAGAATACTTGGAGACAAAATCAGAAGTTAAACGTAAGGCCTTGAAGTGTATAGCCAGGTAGCCTCCACCAAGGCAGAAGAAAGAGGCAGGGAGTAGGTATTTGACTCTTGTGTGAGTGCCACGAGCCCTGTGCTGTGGGGGAAAATGATGACCACTTTTCTCATTTCAATGACACAAAATGTTTAAAGTGAACGCAGGACTCAGTGGTAAAGATGTCAAGTGAAGTCAGATGACCTGAGTTCCAATCCCAGTTTCTGCCTTTTCCTTTAGGCATGACCTTGGCAGTCACTTTACCTCTCTGTGCCTCAGTTCACCCAGAAAATCTCGTTCACCTTGTAGGGTTGCTGTGAGGATTAAGAGGACATGGCAGAAGAGGCATGGCATGATGCCTGCCACATCCACTGAGCGAAAGTTATCTAGTTCTCAAAGCAGGGAAGTCTAGGCAGGCTCTTTCTAGGCCTTGAGCTAAAGTTTGTAAACGCAGTAAAGCCAATCCTTCCCCAACCCCAGGTGGGTACAGTCACAGCTCTGCCCTGGAGAATCTGGCTCTCACCCCCAAACTTCAAGGCCAGGTGCACGCTTGGCATTCAAGTCCTTCCCCCCAGGGAGCTGTCCCTGCTCCACCCACCAGGCTCTCCTCCCAGCCTCTGATCTCAGAGAGTGAGAGCCCTGCTGGTCTGGAGGGCCCCCGACCTCTTCCTTCTCCTCCCTCGCAGATTAGCCTGGCACAGAGCTGGGCACAGTGGGGCTCCAGGAAGACTTATTAGCTTACGTATGCACTGTGGGCTCCTGGTTCTGGGCCAGGGAGCAGCTGGCCAACTCCTCAGATCCCCAGAACTGGCTCCAAAGTGGTGGCAGGTGTAAATCACCCCCTTCACCGGAACCAGGGCCCTGGGGAGTCAGCCGGGCCCCAGCTGCCCTTTTGGCTCTGAATCTAGACCAGCAGCAACAGGGAGGAGGGCGGGTTGCTGTTCCCTCTTCTCCCCAGGAAGGTGCAGTTGAGATCCAAACATGCAGTAACCTGGGAGGTGGTGGGGAGGACACAGTCCAGGGGGAGGGGACCCACAAAGACCTACCTACTCTCTCTAGATGGGGCTGGGAACCTTCAGTACTTAAAGAGGGGCTGGGCGAGAGCATTGAGGAAGGGAGCATGTTCTTGGGGTCCCTGGTCTAGGCAGTTTTCAGCAGACATGCCCATCACCCAAATCTCTTCTGTGCTGAATCCTGCCATAAACCCTGGGTTCTCACAGGAACCAAACCCTTGACCAGACTGCAGGAGAGAAAACCCACGGCCTTATAACGGGGTTTAGGGCCTGAGGAGAGGTGGCACCCTACTGGGTGGGTGAGGTTGTGCTGTGCGAGGTTCTCAGTACTCCCCAGCCCTCACCTCGCCCTCCTAATCATCTGGCAGGAAAAACTTCTCAGAGCCTGCGCCTCCCACCCCAAGCCCTCAGGACCCATCAACACCCCACTTACCCTTGGAGGGCAATTAACAGACGTCACTCCACCTCCACCCCAGGGTTTAGAAACTGTTCTAGGAGGGATCCTGAGGAGTTAGGTGGAGTGTTTTAACTCCCTCCACTCCAGTCTAACTCTGGGAGCTTCAGTCCGTCCCCTCGGCCCTTTGCGGGAACTCCGTCCCTCTGCTCCGTGGAGCCCACACTCACCAGGTCCATTCTCAGCGCCATGATCTTGTCCCCCAAGTCGTGGCCCGCGCCGGGCTCCCCCGGGAGCAGCAAGGGGTCAGAGGGTCCCGGCTCCCACTCGCCTCGCAGCCCGCGGAGCAGCCCTTCAGGGGTCTTCCTGCCCACCTTGCTCTCCACGTCTCGCAGGTCAGGCGTCTGAGACTCCACGTTCCCCTCCATGCGGGCCCAAGCCTATACAGGTCTGGGCGACGGGGCGCCAGGTCCCGCTCACCGGGGTCCTCCCTTCGCCGCCGCCGCCACTGCGGAGCGGAACCCGTGGGTCCCCGCCCGCGCCGCGCGCGGGCAGCAGGAGGGCGCCGTAACACCCAGAAGAGCGGCGCAGAGCCGTGTGGGTATATACCCGAGAGCTGCGCACAGCCTCGGGCCCTGGGTCCAGAGGAGCCAGGCGGTCCGGGATTTGGACCCAAAGGGACACTCGGGGAGCTCAGCGCCTCTGCCGCTCCCACTCTGGCGCTGAATCCAGACCGGCACTCAGCAGGCGCCCAATAAATGCCTGCTGATCGAAGGCTGAGCAGCCTCAGTTAGCCAGGGATGTGGGAGTTTAGGGAGCAGTGGTAACAGAGCCGCAGAGGGCGGGGAAGGCTTCCTGTACTAGATGAGCTGGGTCTAAAGCCGAGGCTAGAATTTAGCTCCCTCCGCCCCCAACTCCCACCCTACCCCACTCCCGCACCCCACCCAGTGGCTAAAATTCAGACCAAAGAAGAGAAAAAAATTTTTCTAGCCAATGAGAACCTGGCCAGCGTTGAAATAGAAGAGGTAGGTCTCCATAGGCTTTATCTTGTTTGGGCTTATCTTTAAGACACTTCTTAAACTTGACCGTGCTTATGAATCATCTCTGAGTCTTGTTAAAATGCACGTTCTGATTCTGAAAATTCTACATTTCTAACGAGGCCCCAGGGAATGGCCATGTTGCTGGTCCAGGGACCACACTGAATAACAAGTTTATAGAAGATATATGTATATTTTAAGAATTATTTTATTTAACTTTTTTTTTTTTAATTTATACCAGAGAGGGACAGAGTGTGAGAGAGAGGGAAAGTGAGAAAGCAAGCCAAGTCCAGGGCTCGAGCCATGTGGGAGTTCAGCACCGTTAACCATCATGCCACCTGCCTGCCCCAAGATTATGGAGGATGTTTCTACAGGCCCAGCCCCATGGCTTTGTCATTTAGGCAGCTGATCTCACATGACCTATCATAGTTCAAGTTCCCTAACCCAGTGGCTTGAGAAACACCTGGCTGTGTGTGCATGCATGCCCAAAGTCGTGAAAGGATGGAGAGATGGAGGAGAAGAGATTGTGGTGTGGCCAAGGTGCTTTCTCTCTCTCTCTGGCGATTTTTTAAAAAAAAAAAAAAAAAAAAAAAAAAAAAGATGTTTTTATAAAAAGATATGTCTACAGTGTTTGGATTTTATTCTCTGGGCAATGAGGAGCCATGAACCACCCCCACTCCCCAAACCCCAGTAAAGAACCCCTGATGGAGTCTCAATACTGCAGTCCATGCCCCTAAACATGTGCCCAGCGTACTTAGGGAAGTTTCTAGCTGCAAACCCAGAATCTTTCCTTATGAGTAAGCCTTGTAGAGCATCACAGTTTTTAAAAATGTATTTAATTTTATTATTATTATTATTTTAATTTGACAAGAGAAGGAGAGAGAGAAGGAAAGTGAGAGAGCAAGACGCCAGGTCTGAGACTTGAAGCATGGTTGGCCATGTGGGAATCCAGCCCCTTAACCACCATGCCACCTGCTAGCCCCACAGAGTATCATATTACTACTGTGTTGCCATTCTGGCCCCAGTTTGTTTATTTGTTTGTTTCCTAGTTTTTACCATAGGCTGTGTGCACTTGCCAGAGAGACAGAGAGAGAGAGCACAAAAGTGAGATATCACCCCCCATGGGGAATGGGTACCAGGCAATCCCTTTCGTCCGCTCTTCTCTCAGGATTCAGGGCATGCATGCACATGTGCCCAGGGTGTTCCACAAGCCACTAGATCTGGGATTCGAACCATGCAGTTAATTATGTGGGATCCAGCACCCCAACAATCACACCACTGACTGGCCACAGTTTTGGCTTTTAATCCAAGTGATTTTGATCCATGGTTACAGAAAGACTTATGAAGACAATTACCCCTGCCCTACCCTTTCACACCTCTAGGCTCACTCCCCAGAGGCAAACACTTTTATTTTTTTCTGATGTTTATACAAATAACTCTAAACAATAGGTTTATTCTGCTACTTCTTAATTTAAAAAAAGAAGAATTATTTAATTTTATTTACCATCATCATTATTATTTTTAATTTGCTACAGGGTATGTGCACTCACCAAAAAGGCAAAGAGAGAGAGAGAGAGAAAGTGAGAAAGCAAGCCACCAAGTCCAGGATTCAAACTATGGTCTGCCATGTGGGAGTCCAATATTTTAACCACCACACCACCTACTGGCCCCACTGCTTCTTAATTTTAAACATTGTCTATTGACTTCCTATTAAGATAAATGTTGATATATGGATTTAGCTCATACTCTGTACTTGTCTTGTCCCATTGGTCCAGTAGATTTCTATCATTAGTTTTAGTTTATCTAATGGTTACTTTTGTAATTAAAAAAAAAAAAAAAATCCAGGGGCCAGCAGAAGGGGTGGTGGTTAAGGCTCTGGACTCCCAGATGGCAACCATGGTTTGTGTCCCAGACCTGGCAGCTTGCTTTGTCACTTTCCCACTTTCTCTGTTTCTCTCTGGCAAGTGTGCATGCTCTCTAGCAAATTTTTAAAAATAATAATAACTCATAAAATTAAATAAGTAATTCTTTTGTAAAGAATCTATATTTTTCCTTAGTATTTCTTCATCTACGGAAGGGTTTTTAAGTCAGAGATTTACAAAATATTTGCCTTTTTGAAAAATTACTCTGGAACCAGTCCCACAGCACAGTGCCAAGTCCTGTGTATAGGAAGCTGGATCCTATATAGTTAACCATGGTTCGAATCCCAGCCCGGTGGCATGAAATATATACCAGAATGTGTGCAAGCATGCCCCAAATCCTGATGGGATAGAAAAATGGAGGAAAAGAATTGCAGTGTGACCATGCCCCATTGAAGGTGCTTTCACACTCTTTTTTGTTTTCTCTTTTTAATTTGCCAGAGGGCATGTGTGCTCTCCAGAGACAGACAGAGAGAGAGGGAAGGGGAGAGAGCATCCCCATGGGGCATGGCCCTTCTGTTCCATTTCTTCCTCCTGTTAAGAGGACAGTTTTCAAGTCACCAGGTCTGGGACTCAAACCATGCAATCAGCCATGTGGGATCCACCAAGCCACAGGCTGGCCCAGGGTGCATTCTTTCTTTCTCTCTTACACATAAGACTAGGTGCAAGACTAGGAATAGGCGACTGATTATACTCTTTTATTTATAATGATATTCAATGGTCTGTTCCCCCCAAAATTTTTTTTAACAAATATGGAGAGCCTACTACAGGCTAGCCATTGTGTGTGGTGTGGAAAATATCGTAGTGAGCAACTGTATCTGGAAAGGAGTTGAGTGGGACTCCTAGCTCTTCAGCTTGATGCAGTTCACCAAGGGGAGAAACCCAGAAGAGATGTGGACATGGGGAATGACTCCAGCAGTTGTGTGCTGAGTTGGAGGGCACTATGAAGCTGTCCAGCAGGCAGCTGGGCACCGGGCAGCCCTAGAGCTCAGAAGAGGACTGCAGACGTACGTTTGGGGATCTACTGATAGACAGTAACACAGAGCATGAGAAGGAGAGAATGAATGATATCTTCCATGTGGAGTGAATTTGAGGAGAGAAGAATGTCAGGAAAGAACCCTGAGGGATATCTTTACTTTTTTTTTAATTTTTAAAAATGAATTTAATTTTTAAACAAGATTTAAAAAAATAATTTATTTTTTACTTTTTTACATTTTATTCATGATAGAGCACATGCACCTGAGAGAGAAGGAGAGACGTGAGTGCCTTTATAGGGTCTGGTCACTCTATGATCCCCTTCCTCTAGACCTCCAGTGTGATGGAACTTGGGATTCTGTGCCCTTGCCCAGACTGTTACAGGCTGACTGGGCCAGGGACTTGAAGTACAGTTGCCACACGGAATCTAATGTCATGTGAGCAGTGCTTTACCACTGTGCCACGGAGCTGGCCTGAAACATCTTTTTAAAATATTAATATGGGGACCAGCAGGTGGAGTGGTGGTTAAGGTGCTGGGCACTCCCACATGGCCGACCACGGTTCAAGTCCTGGACTTGGTTGCTTGCTTTCACTTTCCCTCTTCCTCTCTTTGTGTCTCTCTGCTTAAACTAAAAATAAGTGAATGAATAAATAAAATTAAAAAAAATATATATTAATATGTAGTGATGATGTCAGTGGGTGGCATGGTGCTTAAAGCTCCAGACTCTCACATGACTGACTATATACAGTTCAAGTCCTGGACCCGGTGACTTGAAAATCATGCCAGGTGTGTGTGCATGCATGCCCAAAATCCTGAAGAGGGAATGGAGAAGAAAGAATTGCAGTGTGGCCATCCCCCTAAGACATGATTTTTCACCTTCCCTCTCTGTCTCTCTCTGGCTAGCGCACATATCCTATAGCAAAAACCAAAAAAAAAAAAAAAAACCAGTTTATGTGTTGGGTTTTCTTCTGTTCTAATACATACATACTTCTGTTAATTTGGGAGGACATTATTCCATCGTTAAGGGAAAAGATAGAATATAAACAGCTTTAAAAAAAAAAACTAACAAACTTTCTGGCTTCCTTTTTCCTTTCAACCCATTCTACACAAAACAGAAAAGATTCTCTTAAAGCATAAATTGGATTACATTGTTCCCCTGCCTGAAGTTGTTCTGTGGCTAACCACTCTCTTCAAACAAGCATCCACATCACCTAGAAACTTGTTAGAAATGCAAAATCCCACCCTGCCTTAAACTACTGAATCTGAAACTCCAGAGAAGGGGGCCAAGCACTGTTTGTCTTTATGATTTCTTTTTAAAGTTATTTCTTGTATGAGAGAGGGGGAGAGAGAGAAACAGCCCTCCCACCCCCAACAGGATCTTCGCCCATCATGTAACTCCAGCTTCAGGTGGGCCTGGTCACCAGCAAGCACCCCAGCCTGCCCAGCTTGCAAAGGGAGGCAGTGAGATGTGAACCGGGGCCCTTCCCATGTGGGTGGGTCCAGCATCAGTTAGGACAGTGCCATCTGCCCCAGCCCTCAGCCTCTGTTTTAGCACTGCTCGGGCCCTGGGGATGATGCAGATACAAGCTCCAGTTTGTGTTAAGCTAGGTGCTTTACTTGTATTATCTCATTTCAAATCGTCAGCACCATATACTGGTTAGGAGCAGAATCCAGAGCCAGGCCTGGGTTTCAACTCCAGCTCTCCCCTTGTGTCACTGGGCTCATTTTCTTTATCTGTGATCTGGATAATAATAGCGCCTACCTATTCTAAGGAAGTGTTTAGAAGAGTGGTAGGACAGGGTTTTTAATCTTCCGGGCTCCAGAGGCTGTGTGTGCCCTAGGCCTGGATAATACCCTTGTCCAGGTGGGGTAACCGGTGTCTGGGGCCGGGCCTGTCGCCCCTCTGACCCGGGCCTGCCCCGCGATCTGGTAATCTGGCTTGAACTGGGACTGCAACCCGCGGTGCTGGGGAGGAGGAGCCAGCAGCCCACCAGCCCGCGGGGCTGCAAAGCTGCGGAGAGGGGTCTGAGCACTCGCTCGGCTCGAGGGCTGCTGACTC